CAAGCAAGAGAGAAGTGAATTGTCACGTACAAAGGATCCTCAGTAATACCAGCAGCAGACTTCTCATCAGAAACCTTGAAGATCAGAAGGCAGTAAGCTAATATATTCAAAGTGCCAAAAGAAAAACAAAAACCTCAACTAGGAATCATTGGTACTAAAACCATTCTTCAAAAGAGAGAAAAATAAGACATTCCCCAAAAAACAAACCCGAGGGAGTTGGTTACAACTAGGCCTACCCTGGAAGAAATGCTTAAGGGACTCTTGCAGGGTGAAGTGAATGGACACCAGACAGGAGCTCAAAGCCATACGGAGAAGTACAGATCTCAGCGAAGGAAATACGTAAGTGTAGTAAAAGCTAGCATTACTGTAACAGTGATTATAGGCACAGTTGTTTTCTATAGGATTTAAGAGGCTAATGCATTTTAAATAATTATGTGTGGGGGCATACACACATAATTGTTGTGCCCCCACACGTATTAGTACATGAAGAGGTATTTGGGGGACTTCAAAAATGAAAAGGAGTGGGAACAGCGCTATAGTGCAGGTTTGTAAGCTCTCGAAGGGAAGCTGGCATAATTTCCAAACACAGCGTTATATGTCTAGGATGTGAACCCATGGTGACTGCAAAGAAAGCAGCTACAGACTATCCACAGAAGGAAATGAGAAAGTTAACATTTCACTACAAAAATCAACTAGACACAAGACACTAAACCAGGGAATGAGGGACCAACAAGCTGTAATGCATACAGAAAATGATGAAAATGACGGAGGTAAGTCCCTTCTTTTCAGTTATTACTTTCAGTGTAAATGAATTAATCTGCAGTTAAAACGCAGAGATTAGGAGGCTGAATAAAAACATATGATCCAACTACATGCTGTCTATAAGACTCAGTTCCAAAGACAAATAGATTTGAAGGGAATTAGAAAAAAATATTACATGCAAGTAGTTAGCAAAAGAAAGGGTGGCCATACAGACAAAATGTATTTTACATCAAAAAGGATGCAAGAGGAAAGGACATTAGATATTAAAAGTTTGAATGGAGCAAATGTATATAACAATTATAAGCATTTAGGCACCTAGTGACAGACCATCAAAGTGTTTGAAGCAAAAAAATGGATGAGATTGAAGGGAAAAACAAGTAATTCCACAATGATAGTTGGAGACTTCAGCACCCCACTTACAATAAGGGAAAAGTGGGACAGAAGATAAGGAAGGAAACAGAGGACTCAACACAAAACATGAACTAGATCTAACAGACACACGCAGAACACACTAGCCAACAACAGCAGCACACACATTCTCGCCACGTGCACACGGGCGTTCTCCAGGACAGACTGTATATCAAGACACAAATAAGTTTCAATAGATTTTTTAAAAGAGATACACAGAACATCTCAGATTGCAAATTAGAAATCAGTAATATAAGGAGAGCTGGAAATTCCCATTCCCATTGAAATTAAACAATGATTCTTGAATAACCAATGGACCAAAGAAGAAATCACATGGGAAATTAGGAACTATTTAGAGACAGCTGAAAACAAAAACAATGTACAAAATGAGGGGGTGCATTGAAAGTGGTGTGAAGGGGAGAATTTATAATTAATTAGAAACAGTGAAGATCTTAAATCAGTAACCTACTTTGCAATTTAAGGAACTAGAAAAAGAACAAAGTAAACCCCAAATTAGCAGAAGAAAGGAAATAAAGATTAGAAGTAAATGAAATAGAGAATAGAAAATAATGGAGGAAATCAATGAGACCAGAAGTTGACTGTTTCAAAGAAACCAGCAACAGCAAACCTTTAGCTAGATGGACAAAAGACTCCAGTTACTAAAATCGGAAATGACGTGGGACATTACTGCATATTTTACAGAAATAAAAAGAATGATAAGACAGTACAATGAAGAATGCTATTCCAGTTAATTAGATAACTAGATGAAATGGACAAATTCATAGAAATGCATAATCTACTAAAACTAAATTACAAAGCAATAAGAATTCTGAATAAACCTACAACTAGTGAGGAGATCGTATCAGTAATAAAAAAATCTAACAACAAAGAAAAGTCCTGGACCTGATGGCTTTACTCTGGAATTCTAGCAAACATTTAAGGAAGCCATGCTAGCAGTCCTTCTTAAACATTTTTCCAAAAACTGAAGTGGAGGGCACACTTCCTGACTCATGCTATGAGACTAACATTTCCCTGACATGAAAGCCAAACAAACACCACAGACCGATATCTCTTATGATTACTGATGCAAAAATCCTCATCAAAGTACCAGCAGACTGAACTCAACAGCATATTTCAGAAGGTTTATGCATCCTGTTCAAGTGGGATCTATTTCTGGAACATAAGGATGGCTCAACATGTGAAGATGTATCCATGTGAACACCCCACTTTAAAACAGCGAAGGATGAAACAACAGGGTCGTCTCAGCTGATAGAGAAAAGTGGGGTGTCTGAGAAAAGTGGGGTCCCTGATAGACAACAGGGTCATCTGAGCTGATAGTGTCAGTTGCATGCATCTGACACATGCAACACCCTTTCGTGATGAAAATAGGCAACAAACTGGACTTCGAAGGAGACGAGTGAAACACAATGAAAGCTGTATGTGAAGAACCCACAGCGAACACCATCAAGTTCATTGTGGCATCCATCTTTTCACATATGTACCCTTAGGCTCTCTCAGCAAATTTCAGTTACGCAGTAGTGTCACCTGCAGTCACCATGTTGTATTAGATCCTCAGACCTTACTCATTCGGTAACCAAAAGTTTGTATCCTTTTACCAAACTTGTCATATTTTCCCCATCCTCTAGTCCCTGGAGATCACGTTTCTCCTATCTGGCTATCAGTTGCTCCTTTTTTATTTTTACTTTTTTAGATTCCACATGTTTTCCATCTCCTGTGAGTGTCCACCCAGTCGTGCACACTCCCGGTTCTGCTCCTTCCTACCCGGGCAGCTCACCCGGATCCTCCGCTCCTGCCAGTACTTTCCACCTCCTTCAGGTGCACGCAAGGGTGGAGATCTCCCAGGTGTCCTGGCGCAGTGTGCAGAGAGGCACTTGGGCTCAGTGGCCCGTGTCCGATGAGTTGCAGATCAGACAGGAGCCAAGACACGCACGATTCCTGCCACCGTGGTGCCGACGTCACAGTTCCGTTGCTCCTTCAGGGGTCACTTGAGTAATACAGATGCTTCCTGTCTCACTCCTACCTCTCATTTTCTGTATCAATAAGATTAGCTTTAGATCAGTAGCTCCAAATGACAGAAGGAAACCAGAACAATGTATTAGTGGAAGATTTTTAAATAAAATGAAATTGTATAACTTTCATATTAAATATGTTTTAATTCTTTTAAAAATGTTTTAAAAGACTTTATTTGTTTATTTTTAAAGAGCGGGAAAGCGAGGGAAACATCAATCTTTGGTTGCCTCTCATGTGGCCCTCGGTGGGGACCTGACCCACAACCCAGGCAGGTGCCCTGACTAGGAATTAAACCAGCGACCCTTCGATTCACAGCCCATGCTCAATCCACTGAGCTATGCCAGCCAGGAAAAATATTTTTATATATTTCTTTGAAACGTTAGTGACTATTTAGAGCTGAGCTCTGGAAATGACTGGACTAGTTTATTCTAATAGTCTCTTTCAATGTTGACATTCTTTGGTCCTCTGCTTTATTCTACCCTTGACTTCCTACATGCCTAGAGAGAGCAAATGCCATATTGAATGTGTTTTGAATCAAAGAGTTTATGGGAACTTCGTGGTTGTATCAGAAAAAAGAAATTGGTTATGCTGCAGCAATAATACTTAAAAAAACCCTAAAAACCTTCTGGCTTACAATAACCAAGTGTATTTCTCTGTGAACCTCACCCAGCAAGGGACGGATCGGTCACGTTAGCCACTCTACGCTCCGCCGGCGAAACTGCGTTTGGACACATGCTGTAGCAGTCACAGGGCCTCAGAGCAGAGAGCGTCACCGTGCTTGCATTTCATTGCCAGAGCCGTTCCCACGGACACTCCCGATTCAACACCTGCAGGGGCAGTACTGAATATTTACGAACAAGGAAACATTTGGTGGGTGCATGTGAGATCGGGAATAAAAACTAACAAGGCAAAATTAGTTTTGTTAGAGTGAAAATATGAAAGACAAAAAATAAGAGACGAACCCTCACTGTCCCTTCAGTCTTTTAGACATATTAGCAAAAGAAATTTCCAGATTGCAAAATATGATCTTCACGGACGACATTTGAGTATATTTTTAGGACAACCCAGGGACACAGGCTGGGAAGACTGGGCGGCCCTTGAGAGCTCCCTCCCGCGTGCGAGCGCTCGGTTCTGATCTGCAGGCTCAGCGTTCACAAACATCTCCCCGGGGCCGGGGCATTGCTCAGCTTCTCCGTGCCCCAGGCGCCTCCGTCTGAAACGGCTCCAGTCCTAACCGTATCTGCATTGGAGTGTTGTCAGCACCCACAGTGGGAACACTCAGAAATGGCACATAGTAGCCCTCCACGCATGGTGTTAATTGTGTTTAGTTATTTTGTATTTTTATCGTATCCACAATACTATTATTCTCACTGTCTCAGTGAGGATCTAAAACTAATCTACAGACTTAATGGTTTTACAGTTCACACAGTGGATGGCAAAGCCTGGATCTAAAATTAGTTTCCTGCTTTAGAGACTTTGTTTCCATTCTAGTCACTCTGATGTTGCTAAATAATTTCACACAATCAGGTTCTCATCTGTCCTTCAGGACATTGAGGTTATTTTAGCAAACTCCTCCCACCCAGAGGATCAATAGAAACGGCCCGGAAAACGCGGAGTTGTTGAGGTGGGGAGAGGACCGTGAGAAAAGGCAGGCGGGCAAAGAGAAAGCGAACTGGGACGCTGCGGTGCGATCAGAAGCGGGGGCTGCAGGCTGAGGGGGAGGGGAGGGGCGGACGGACCGCGCTGACCTCATTGCGAGGCCCGGGTCAGACTTTGCACGCTTTGGATTCGGAGACTGCGACACCTGCTGGAAGGGAGGGGATTACAGGGAGTCTATGAAGTCCTACATTCAGCTTTTCTCCCCCCCTAACTGAAAGAGAAAGAACGCGTTTTAAAACTTTATCATTGAAAAAGACTGAACTGAAGGTTTGAGAGATTGCTGATTGAAAGAAGTTGAGGTGGTAAGTTATTTTAAATTTTTGGGGGGAGTATCATACAATCCCTTCCCCACTTTTACCTTGAAATAAGTGGGTTTTGTCCTAGGATACGATACAGGGCAGAGTTCCACCATCTATTTTAGGTTTGCTGACAAGTCGAGTTTCAGTTTCCAGCAGGACGAAATGTACTGTTTATATTTGAAATGCATCCGGACCTTCACTTAGAAGTGCTTCTCTCGTTTCAGAGGCCTGGTAGGCAAACTCGATTATCTGCCTTCTTTCCTCAAAGGCTCACGCGTGACTTACTGCCCTGAGCTTGGGCTCATTGCCCCCCCTTTTTTTGTGGGGGATGTGGGGGGGAGTGCTCATAGGCCCCAGGGGAGCATGTTAAGAAAATTGTATGTGAGACTCAATGTAAAATTTAGAGGGATTATGCCTTTTTTCCAGTAAAAGGAAGCACTACCTTGACCAAGTACAGTAATGTGACTGCCTAAAGCTCTAGAATATAGATAACAGGAAAAATAGAACAAAACAAAAACACCCGGAGGGCAATATAAGTGATCCAGTAACAGACATCAATGTGAAACTGAAGGTATTTCTATTAAAAATTTAACAATACTTTTACTAAATTACTGGCTATAAAGGTATTTATGAAGCATCTAGAGTAACAACAACCAATGACAAGAGCAGATAACTTGTCTCTTCCTGGTCAAGGTTAATTCATTTGCATGTTGGAAGAATAGATCCGTATCTGCCGGAGATGCGAGGCTGCTGGGGTGAGGATAGAGGATAAAGCACTCACACACAACTCGTCTACCCGTTGCACTGAGCACATGGTTCCCTGGAGGGAAGATGCATGGATGTCCCCCTTCCACGTACTTTCTTAAGTCGCAATGCAGAGATTTTGGAGGCTGGAAATTTGGGCTGGGAGTGAGAAACAGAAGCGAATCGAACGTCCTATTTCTTTTTGAAGCTGGGACATTACAAATGTTTGCAAATAGATGGTGAAGGCAATAATTCGACCATGAATGCAGTTGGCTGTGTTTGTGATTTTCCTTCTATCCTTGAAGGGCTTCAGAAATGAAATCTAATCCTGAATAAATAATACATGATTAAGGACTCCTTTTTTTTTATGCCCATGAAAGGCCAGATGTTTAAAAAGGTGAATATTCCCTCCATAAGGAAAACATTAAGCTCTTGAAGGTCATCTAGATTCTTTTCCTGGAAGATTTCATGCCTGTTCTTTAGCTGTTCATGCTACTATTGATTATACTTTCCAGATTATGAATAAACATTCTGTGCCCTGAGTATTCATGCATGGTAACACTGACTTTGTCAAATATGCTCCTGCCAGGAACATAAATAGCCGCTGGAAAGAACTCCGACAGCCACACAGCAAGATGAAGCTCTTGCTCTTGCTCTCGGCCATTGGGCTGTGTGGGGCTCAGTACGCCCCACACACCAAGCCAGGACGGACCTCCATTGTTCATCTGTTCGAGTGGCGCTGGGCTGACATCGCCCTTGAGTGTGAGCGGTACTTGGCTCCCAGAGGATTTGGAGGGGTTCAGGTGGGCACTGTTCACAGTAGGAATCGTGGGGTTTGCTGGGTGCAGAGTGAATGGCAGGATCTGTGTCTGTGAAGCAGGGGCATTTTATTTCAGACCTAAGTGCCCTAACTAAGTAAGGAGTTTCATGAGGAAGATGCAAACTTTAGTGTTGTTGGTAACGTTTCTGTTTTGTTTCTGCTATAGTCTTTCTTCAGTAGGCTATTTCCCACACACTGTTAATAATAGGAAATACATGTAGCGATTTATAGAGTCAGAAGCAATGTTAGATCTTTGATTGTTTACTAGAATATCCAATGATACAAAGTAAGCCACACTTTGGTACCTGAGATTATTTTATTTGTAGATCTCTCCACCCAATGAAAATGTTGTCATTAATCAACCTTCAAGACCGTGGTGGGAAAGGTACCAACCAATCAGCTACAAGTTATGTACGAGATCAGGAAACGAAGATGAATTCAGGGACATGGTGACTCGATGTAACAACGTTGGTGTAAGTGAATTCATTTTCTTTAAAAATATTGTGTAAGAAAATTACTTCTCTCTCCTGTTTCTTGCTCCTTTTGACCAGACCATGTTCCATATTTTTTATTTCACTTTCTACTTTCACTGTAACTATAATTTAATTGTTGCTTATTGTCCAGTTTTGTAAGTCTTTGTGTATGTGCCATTCATCTACTAAAGATACAAGTCCCAGTTTAAAGCTATCTTACTTATAAAGCAAATATCAACTTTTAACCCTTATAACTTTTCCGGGGAGTACTTTCCAGTTAGAAATGGGAAATCCCAGCTACAATATTAGCTGTCACGTTTATGTGACATGTGTCTCCATCCACAATTCCCGAGTCTTCCTCCCCAGGAGGTTTTTGATGATAAATAGATACAATTTCTTTGATGAGGAGCATAATGAGAGATAATGGTAGGGTCTGGCTGCTTTCTGAGGATGAGCCCATGGAGATTTCAAAAATCAGTAATCTCTGCCATCTCAACTTATTCTTAGCCCCACCCCCTCCCCCTAAATAAAGGCTCTTTGCATGTTTTCATAGTTATGAGAGTTTCTGGTTCAGTTTCCGGTGCTGTTAATTTACCATATATGCAAACATTTGGCCATGTGACTAGAATGCATGCAGGTAGGTCTTCACCCGGATTTCCTTTCACACTTTACTCTTGGTCCTCTTAAAGTCACAAATAGTCGGAGTGTTACAGACATGCTGTAAACTTTAATCACTAATATATTGTGGAGGATACCATCCAGCAGTATCCATCTTGGCTGCGGATGCTTCCATCTTGGCTGCAGATGCTTGTCGAAACATCCTAAAAACATGCACAGAGACAACCAGGTACTGTGGGGGAATAGGAACAGAAGGGCCACTCCTCACGTGGGGAGTGCCTCGTTCCCCCTCTGGAGAGGCTTTTTATTGGTTTCGTTTGCATAAGAATTCAGGTAAAAGCTCATTACTCATTGCTAGGAAGTAAGGATCAAACAATAGATAACAAGGAAGTCTGAGGGCCTATTTTGAGTCAGGGTCAAAGAGCTATAATACTTTAAAGAACAAACTTACTTCTTCCCTGGACCCTTATTATTCAACTGAGAGCATTCTAAACAAAGCAGGTTTCACAGGATTTTACATGTTCTTTCTTAGGCCTGATCACCCGGGGAACCTGCCCTTTTCAGCACAGAGCTGCACCACCCTGTCATTGTTTCAGGCTTAGGTGGAGCAAGGGAAGTAAGGCAGCCAAGGGATAAGGAGATTTTCTCCCAGATGATGAGAACTCAGGCTATGTCAAAGCCGAGGAGTGAGGGTCCATCACCCTTTTTTGCTGTAGCCCCCAAAGTCCTTTCTTGGGGTCCTCCCAGGTGATCGTGCCTGTCTTAGATCATTCCCCCCTTGGGGAATCTTACCCATCATTGGCTAACCGACCAAGCTTTAGGGTTCAGTTATGAATGAAGCAGCAGAAGCAGCACTCCTGCCTGGGAGATAAGCTTTTGTCTCCTTGCTGGTTTACGGTCCAAGGCCACTCCCTCAGCTGTAGCCTTGGCGGGGGTTACAGCTTCTGATACCAGGCAGGGCGGTTCCCAACAATATATCTTAGATTTCTACCTCTCTACGAACCATCCTGAAATGGAAGCGCTGCCTTTCAGGTCCATATCTACGTGGACGCCGTGATCAATCACATGTGTGGGAATGCCGTGGGTGCGGGAACCAGCAGCACCTGTGGGAGCTACTTCAACCCTGGAACCAGGGACTTCCCCGCCGTCCCCTTCTCCGGGTGGGACTTCAACGATGGCAAGTGCAAAACCGGCAGTGGAGACATCGAGAACTACAATGATCCCTACCAGGTAGATACAAAAAACAAACAAACAAAAAAAAAACAAAACAAAACTGTGTTCTGAATGAAGAGCTCTCTACACCTTTCACTGTCTACACAGAGCTGATCCATCCCCATTGAAGTACTAGCTTAGATTCCCTAAAAAGAAGGATTGCAGGTAGGACTGTTTAGAAATGAGAAACTCAAATCAAGATTTAAAACTTTCCTCGGTGTAATCTCTCCCAATTAAAAAGCCCATCTACTTTACTTCCCACATTCTCCATTTTCATAACAGGAGCTAGTTCCCAGGTGTGTCCAGACTAGAATGTCCCCATCCCCAGAGCCCAACGCAAAGAAGACACTGTAGAGACATCAACTGATGCACACTCGAGTGACTAATCACGTGGATTCTCAGGTAGACACGACAGTTCATGCATCCACCATCAGATTTTCACCCCAACAGGTCAGAGACTGTCGTCTGGTTGGTCTCCTTGACCTGGCGCTGGAGAAAGACTATGTGCGCTCCAAGGTGGCCGAGTACCTCAACCACCTCATTGACATCGGCGTGGCAGGGTTCAGGATCGACGCTTCCAAGCACATGTGGCCCGGAGACATGAAGGCCGTCCTGGATCGGCTGCACCACCTGAACACAACCTGGTTCCCCGAAGGCAGCAAACCCTTCATTTACCAGGAGGTACGTGGACACGTCTACGTGCCTATGCAAGATCACCTAACTTGGCAGAAAATAAACGGCAGGATGAATGAAAAATATAACTTCTGTAGGTTAACCACCGAGTCATTTGTGGAGCATGGGAACCAGCCGTATAGAACGGCGTTCTTTCATCTTCATTCAGAGGCTGTTCTTGATCAAACTCTCTCTTGATCACAAGGGGTGTTAAGGAAGGACGTGCAGAGAATTTGTTTAGGCTGCAAACATCTCCTTGCCATCCCCCGTCTCTCCGGAGACCATTTCAGGAGTCAGACAACAATACAGCTGTTGTTCTGAGCCCGTGTCTCTGGGTTTGAATCTCGTCTGCAGCACTGCTGGCTGCGTTCTTGTAGGCGAATTGGTTCACCTCCCTATGCAGAAATTATCTCATGTGAGGAGAGGGGAGAATGATAATAGCTATGTCTGTGCTTTCGTCAGAAAGTTAGATGAGTTAGTATTCATCGAGCACTTAGAAATGTGTCGGCCGCGCTGTTTATGTGCGGGACCGGAGGAGGTCAGCGTGGCCTGCAGGACGGCAGGTCGCCCGGTCAGGGCACTTCCCACGTCGTCGTGAACGGGCATCTCGGCACAAGGAGAGTCCCTTGGGGCATTTCAAAGAACACGAAGAGTTTCGAGCCATTGGCTATGTAATATTCACGTGTTGGTTAAAATTCTAACCTAAAGTGCTATTTTCCCCTATATTCCTTCCAGGTCATCGACCTGGGTGGCGAGTCGATCAAAAGCAACGAGTACTTTGGCAATGGCCGTGTGACAGAATTCAAGTATGGCGCCAAACTAGGCACAGTTCTGCGCAAGTGGAACGGGGAGAAGATGGCCTACCTGCGGTAAATGCAATACGATTTGTCTTTGGAATCGCTTCGTAGACTTGCTATACATCACATCGCCCCAATAGGAGTTGTCTTATTAAGACCGCTATTTAGACCGCGTTCAAGGAGTCAGTTATCAGTAACAAGTGTTAGAGTTTCTCATACTCAAACTGGTCATTGTTATTATTTAGAAGGTCAATCGCAGGAAGTGTCTCTAGAAACCCAGAACACGCCCTGGAGGTTTTGATCTGTGTTACACAATCGCACCAGTTTTCACTGTCGCCAAATAACCTGTGAGGCCCAGGTGGTTAGTCAGGTGACTCTGCCAATTATAAAGTCCCCACGACGTGGCCACACTGTGGAGTTTACATATACTACACCAACTGGCTTCAGATTTTAAAATACCGGTATTATAAAAGTACAATATTGAAGCCTTATTTTAACCCAGTTTGCCATCCAGTAGAGTATGATGTGGATGTTGGCCATCTAAGTTATACTGAACTAAAACTTCTAAAAGGGCTTGTTTTAACAGTGAAAATACCTGTAACATGGATGTCAGAAAGTAATTCATGCATGTATCTCTATATATTTATACATGGAATGTATTTGTAGATAATACAGCTATATCTACATGGTATATATGCAGAGGTGGGCAAACGTAGGTTTGTAGTTGTTTATATAGAAATAATACAAATAAGTAATACCATAATTAATACATAATAAAACAGGTATAAACTCACCCCTGCAAACCTACGTTTGCCCACCGCTGTACATACAAACCTTACAGAGAAATCCTCCTCGTTAGAGGATTTCATGCGCGCATTCCGTGCGGGACGGAGTGCACGCATGGGCTCCTCTAAAGAGCTCCCACGTGTCTGCGCAGGAACTGGGGAGAGGGCTGGGGCTTCATGCCCTCCGACCGGGCGCTCGTCTTCGTGGACAACCACGACAACCAGCGGGGCCACGGGGCCGGAGGGGCGTCCATCCTCACCTTCTGGGACTCCAGGTAGGAAACAGCTTTCCATTTTATCTTCGCCTACCTTTTAGTCACACTAAAGACGTTGTTTCCTGCTCTGACGACACCGTTTTGTGACTTTCAGACTGTACAAAATGGGCGTGGGATTCATGCTCGCCCACCCCTACGGATTCACACGAGTGATGTCGAGCTTCCGCTGGCCCAGGTATTTTGAGAACGGAAAAGTAAGTTTCGGTGTTGTCCAAAATATTTGTTTCTCAAGACAAGGAAGGCAGTTTTGTTCTAACTTCACATGATACCAATACATGTATGAGTCATACATTGATGGGATATATTAGTGTAAGCTTCATGCAGGGTTCATGGCAATGCAGTGGATTAAAAAACGAAAATTTATGGTCACTGCTGTCAACTGGTAGGGAAGCTATTTCAGAAATAGGAGGAACATACCTCCTTATTTCCCCAAAACATTCGAACAAGAGGATACAGTGAGTATAATATGTGCTTCCCATCAGTACCCACTTTGCAGGGCTGGTATGGGACTGACAAATGAACAAACTTGCAAGGAACTTAAAACAGTACCTGTCCATAGCAATATAAATACTGGTTAGATACTCTTTAAAAAGTTCTATGAAAGGCAAAAACAGCATCTAGTTGAACTGAGAGTAAATGGGCAAAGCATTTTACAAGAAAGAAAATACATACATGTATTAAAGAAGATAAATTTGTAGACTATCCTGGGGAAGATTAGTATGGGGCCAATCTTTGGGAAAGGCATTAATCTGAGTAAAAATTTTTAAAAGAAACTGAAAATAAAGTTTTAAATGTATTTAGAAAGGTAGTGGAAAGTTTTCAAGGCGAAGGTTTCAGCTGTAGCATCATGCAGTAACTTCATAGCTAAAGGAGAAAATTCTCTTCCCTGCAAATTAGACAGTTATCTAGTTTCTCCCAGAGTCCTTTCACTTTTAGAAGCCCCCTACTCTGTACAGCAGCCTACTCATTCTGTTGTTAGACAGGTTTACTATTTAGATGTTCCTATACATTGAGCCAACGTCTTCAGATTTCCATGAACTGGTCTTATTTCTGATGTCAGGAGTCAGGGACCACCTCCATTTCCATTTTTCCTATAACATTTGCACTTTTCTAAAACTTCTGCATGCCAAGAAATCTTAGCTTTGTCCACTGTTCATCACATGATTTTTAAGACACACAGTGAGAAGCTTCCTGGACATAATCTGTGAGGTTCCTACGTTTATCTTACAAAGTACCAATCAGGAAAACAGGGTTTTAAACCTCTGCTCCAATGAGAGTATGGCGACGTCTTGCTTGATGTATTTATCCAAAAGGAAGATGAAGGGCACCGTTCTCAGATTTTTTTTAGTAATTATTATATTTAAGGCATTTTGCATATATTATTTAATTTTATAGCATCCAAAACAATATCCCTATTTTACAGAAGAAGAAAATAAGGCACAGAGAAATGGTGTATATTGACTGAGTTTTCTTAGCAGTAAAATGTTTTCATCCTGCCATTTCTGACACTAAACTCCTAGCTGTTTCAATGATACCACACTGCCTACAGTGATGTAAGAAGCCATTGCAATTTCTGGGAAAAAAAATGAGAGGGTAAAACAAATTTCTTTTGAAATATGGCGCCAGGAAACGAGAAGGTGGAGAAAAGCCGATGAAGACTCGATGGAGGGCTTTACTGAAGGAGCCAGGTTTTAAATGCAGGCACTCTGGGGCACAGCGGGACAGACTGGGGGGGCGGGTGTTCTGGAGAGGGAAGGGGTAAAACTAGTTAATGTTCCCCATCTGAGCATTTTTCATTCCTTCCTCTAATTCAGGATATTAATGATTGGGTCGGCCCACCAAATAATAATGGAGTAATTAAAGAAGTGACTATTAACCCGGACACTACCTGTGGCAACGACTGGGTCTGTGAGCACCGCTGGCGTCAAATCAGGTGGGACGACCTTTTTAGGGGTGTTCTCTGGGTGGGGGGAGGGTGGGGTGGGGGGAAGTGGTGGCGGGAAAATGGAGACAACTGCCCTTGAACGACAATTTTAGAAAAAGAGAAAACTAAATTATTAAACTTTTTTTTCACCTTCTGTTTTAAACCATTTGTTGACGTATTCATAGCCATTGCCCTGTATTTCATTTTCAGGAACATGGTCATGTTCCGTAATGTCGTTGATGGCCAGCCCTTTACAAACTGGTGGGACAATGGCAGCAACCAAGTAGCCTTTGGAAGAGGCAACAGAGGGTTCATTGTCTTTAACAATGACGACTGGTAAGTAGACGCCAATGAGACCTTGTATTTTATACTTAACGCGTGCTGGGTTCCTTCTTTTCTCTGACTGATCATTTACTTCTTTTTTTTTTTTAAGATTTTATTTATTTTTTTTTAGAGAGGGAAGGGAGGGAGATAGAGAGAGAGAGAAACATTAATGTGTGGTTGCTGGGGGTCATGGCCTGCAACCCAGGCATGTGCCCTGGCTGGGAATCGAACCTGCGACACTTTGGTTCACAGCCTGAGCTCAATCCACTGAGCTACGCCAGCCAGGGCCATTGACTTCTTTATGTCTGGAAAATTCTTTAGTCAGTAGATTAAAAACACAAAGATCAGAAAAGGATCCGGAAAAGAAAATGATGATGGCTCTTACGCCCTTGACCTCCTCTTGATGAGGGATTTCTGTGCTGAGCGGAGTGAGTTTTGCACACCTTGCGTATCACGTGCCTCACATCCGCTCACGTGCCCGCCCCACATGACACACAGTCATTCGTGTGCAGGCTGTGAAATCACTGGAAGGAGCTGTCCTGCCGACCCTCTTTCATTTAAATGCAGCGGCGGGAAACTGCAGTGTCGGGACTGAAATACCTTCTCTTTCTGGCTCTTTCCCTCAACTCCTCTTCTGTCAGTTTCTTTGGTCTTTGTCTTCACTCCTCTCTCTCTCTGTGACAGGGTTTTTTTTTAAAGCACATGTGTAAAGGATATGTATCTTATGGTAAACAGTGTTTTTGGGAGAGTTTTAAGTTTTCCATTTGAGACCAGAACTACGGTTTAGGAGACCTCTCTGCAGGTGGTCACAATGTCTCTGCCCAGGGATGACCTCCACTCAGGCTTAGCTCATTTGAGCCTAAATTGAGTTTTACTGACAAACCAAAATTAATTGAATGTATCTCTCTTGTCAAAAGAATCCATGGCTAGTCTGTGTTTTATGTTTGGGAGAGCCAACATAAATGTATGAGACAGCTTTATATTGAGAACTACGTGCTTCTTCCAGGAAATGTTAGGTTGGTTTTATCTCCAGCCCAAACTCATTTTAGCCTCTTGAAAACAGGAGAGTGTTTTGAAGAATCATCAAATTAAAAAAATTTGAAAGTAACTTGCATTTTCTTCAGTTCAGATGGGGGCACATTTAAAATATTTGCGTTTGCCACAACAAGTACTTTTATCCCACAAGAAGTACCATGGCTTAGGAGACCTCTTAGGAGATGGGGCACAGCCCCGTCTGCACTGACAGCCTTCGCCCTTGGTTCCCTGTACCGCTCACGAGCGACTAGGACTCGCTGAGTCCTCTGTGAGATCGCTTCTGTTCCTGGGGAGTCTGTTCCCCCGACCCTCGGGGAGGTCTTGTTCTTCTCACGGAACCCCTGACTACGCCGGTTCTGCCTCGGGTCTCAGGGGTCATCTGTATTCTCGCCTGGAACTGTGTCGACTTGAAGTTACATCTCGGCTTTTGTTTTACAGGCCATTATCTCTGACTTTGCAAACGGGCCTTCCGGCTGGCACGTACTGTGACGTTATTTCTGGAGATAAAATCGCCGACGACCAGTGCACGGGAATTAAAGTCTACGTTTCTCAGGATGGCAATGCCCACTTTTCTATCAGCAACTCTGCCGAAGATCCATTCATCGCAATTCATGCTGAATCCAAGTTATACAATTTGAATTAAACACCTGTGTACCCAGAGGCATAACCAAGTGTGTGGCTTTGTTTTTACATTTATAAATTCTTATAATTCGATCATGTTAGGTAAAACTGTAGTAAACAGTCAACTTGAAAGCTCAGGAGAGCATAAAAAATCACACAATTTTACAATTATAAAATAATTGCAGTCAACATTTTGTTATATTTTAGAAGACTCACATGAACCTGTTTGTCAGAGTTGGGGGCTGGGTGAAAAAGGTAAAGTGATTAAGCAAAAAAAATTCATAGACCGAGACAATAATATGGTGATTCCCAGAGGGGGAATCAGAAGAGGGTGAAGGGGGGGCGATAAATGGTGATGGAAGGGGATTTGACTTGGGGTGGTGAACACCCAATGCATACAGATGACAGACTGTAGAATCATACCCTTGAAACCTACATTATTTTATTAACCAATGTGACCCCAATAAACTCAATACATTTTTAAAAATAAATAAATTAACTAAGTAAGAAAAAAGATTTCTGGCCCTAGCTGGCGTAGCTCAGTGGATTGAGCACAGGCTGAAAACCAAAGTGTCGCAGGTTCGATTCCCAGTCAGGGTACATGCCTGGGTTGCAGGCAATGACCCCCAGCAACCACGCATTGATGTTTCTCTCTCTCTCTCTCTTTCTCCCTCCCTTCCCTCTCTAAAAATAAATAAATAAAAAAAAAAAGAAAGGAGATTTCTAAGAACTCGGATAGGCACCTTGGTAAATACGTTTGTTGACCACACCGGCTGCCCAGCTCTGGGTCACTGATGGAGGTCTGTGTTTGTTTCTCCCACGCAGTGTTTCTAGCAGGCAGTTAGGGGCAGCTGACTTAGTGATGATTCCTGGAAAAATGAACACCATCTGAGTGGCTTTCACAATGTGAAAGCCCTTTTACAGTTAAGAAGTTTAAAAATAAGCTAAAATTATGCAATCTGTAATTCTAATTGCATGGAGCTCACAGGAATCTTTTTTCTTCCTCCTTTTCTTTCTCTATCTTGTGGCTTTAACTAGATGTCGCCCAGCTTTGTGTTCCACCGCGTATCCCTCACTATGGACGGATGTTCATTTAGGGCTTTCAAGATACCAGGAGCGAGGGTTTCCTTAGCCATTCATTCCCCTTCACCCTGACGTTAAATGTGGGCTCTGTTGCTCCTAATCAACACCGTCAACAACATTTGTTATCAATCCTCTTTACTTCTCTACCCTTATCCATAGGACTGCACGGCAGTATTTAAATGCTGAGTCACCCCCCCTCTATTCCGTTGGCTTCTGGGACTCTCTCCTCTCCGCCTCCTCTGCTCTCACTGATCGCCCTCGTCCCCCCGTTTTTACTGGCTCACCTTTGGATTGACACAAGGACTCATTTGGATCTATAATTACCCTGTTTTACTTGCTCAGTCGATTGGACCTTTAGTCTCAGGACACTGCTGGGCACACGTTATGTAAGAGCTCAATGATTATCTGTGAAATAAATGGAGATAATGAGAGGAAGAAAAGAAACCTAGATCATTTTTTGAGGGGAGAATTATTAGGAAAGATGTGGCCTGGGAACACAGATAGTTTTATTCTCTCTATAATTCTTTCCAGTTTAATTCGTTCTGGGTTAACCCTGATTTCTCAGGTCAGAAATGTCGTGGGATCTCAATAGAGGCAAAGAAGTACTTGACAAAAGCCAGCAACCTTTCGTGGTGAAAACTTCTTTCTCAAGAAATTACATAGAGAAGGAGTGTGTCTCAGCACAGTGTGGGCCTCTATGACAAGCCCTCAGCTAACCTCATATTTAATGGTAAAAAGCTAAAAGGCTTTTTCCTTAAGATTAGGAACAAGACAAGCATCCCTACCCTCAGCACTTCTATTTAACACAGCACTGGAAGTCCTAGCAAGATCGATCAGGCAAGACAAAGAAACAAAGAGCTTCCAAATCTGAAAGAAACAAGCAATACTGTCTCTGGTTCCAGATGACATGATCTTGTCACGGAAGCTCCTAAAGACTCACGTAAAAAAGTGTTAGAGCTGATGATAAAATTTAGTTGAAGCTGCAAGATACAGAATCAACGTGCAGGAGTTGGTTTTGTTTCTGTACACTAACACTGAACTATCAAAATGAGAAATTAAGAAAGCAGTTATATTTACTATAGTATAAAAACAAAGTACTTAGGAATAAATTTAACCAAAGAGGTGAGAGGTTTACACACTGAAACTGTAAGACACTCATCAAAGAAATTGAAGAAGATGCAAAAAATGAAAGGATACCTTGTGTTCTTGGATTGGAAGGATTAATATTGTTAAAAATGTCCATACTACCCAAAGCAATCTATAGATTCAAGGCAGTCTCGATCAAAATTCCAGTAGCATTTTTTCACAAGAATAGAAAAAAAAAATCCAAAAATTCATATGGAACCAAAAAAGACCCAGGATAACCAAGGCAAACTTGAGAAAAACAAAATTGGAGGCACCACACTACCTTATTTTAAACTATATAATAAAGCTATAGTAATTAAAACAGTATGGTACTGGCATAAAAACAGACACATAGAACAATGGAACAGAATAGAGAGAAATAAATGTACATATATACACTCAACTAATCTTTGGCAAGAATGCCAAGCACATACAATGGCAAAAGTCTCTTCAATACATGGTACAGCGAAAACTGGATATGCACAGGGAAAAGAATAAAACTGGACTATTTTACAGCACTCACAAAAGTTCATTGAAGCGGACCAAAGACCTAAATGTAGAACCTGAAACCATAAAGCTTCTAGAAGAAGAAGGGAAAAAAGCCTTATAACATTGATCTTGGATTTCATAGGTAGGACACCAAAACCACAGACAAAAAAGCAGAAATAAACAAGTGGGACTACATCACCTAACAAGCTTCTGTACACCAAAGGAATCAGTCCATAAAATAAGAAAACAGCCTATAGAATGGGTAAAAATATTTGGAAACCATATTTCTGAAAAGAGGTTAATATCCCAAATACATAAGGAACTTTTAAGGCTCAATACCAAAAACCCAGCCATTCAAAAAGTGGGCAAAGCCTCCTAATAGACATTTTTCCTACGAAGACATACAAATGGCCCATAGGAACATAAAATGGTGCTCAGCATCACTAATTATCAGGGTTGTGCCAATCAAAGCCACAAGGAGACATTACTCTACACCTGTTGGGATATTTATTATTAAAAAAGATAAATGATAAACGCTGGTGAGTTTGTGAAAATAAGGACCCTATGTACACTGCTGGTGGGAATGTAAGTTGGTACAGCCATTACAGAAGACAGTATGGAGGTTTCTCAGACAATAAAGAGGAGAACTACATGGCCCATCAGTGCCACTCCTGGATATATGTTTGGAGGAAATAAAGTCACATCTTGAGTTGATATGTGCACACTCATGTTCTTTGCAATGCTATTCACAATAATCAAGATACAGTAAGTGCACCTAGATGCTGGACCAATTTTTGATAGGATAACAAGCCAAAGGTCGACAGATAAGTGGATAAAGAAAATATATGTGATGGAATATTATTCAGCCATAAAAAGGAAGGACATTCTGCCTTTATGAGAACATGTATGAACCTGGAGTGTATTATGCTAGGTGAAATAGCCAGCGGAAAACTAATACATACTGCAGTATTATTTATATGCAGAATCTATATTAAATGCAAGTTGAACTCATAGAAACAGTAGAAATGGTGGTTGTCAGGGCCTGGGGGCGGGGAACTAGAGAGATGTGAGACAAAGGTGAACAAGTTCAAGGGAAGATGAGTACGTTCTGAAGATCTAAGACACAGCCAGGTGACTGGAGTTAATAAGGTGTTGTTCACTTGAACTTTTCTGATACCACATCTTACTAGTTCTCACAAAAATGTTAATTATAGGAGGGGGTGGGTGTTTAATGAACTTGATCTTGGTAATAATTTCATGATGTGTATGCATATTATATCATCACACTGTGCACTTGAAATATATACAGTTTTATCTGTAAGTCATTTCTCAATAAAGCTAGAGAGAAAAAAAATCATGGGGAAGTCAAGTATTTTGGCAAAATACGATCATGTTTTCTGGATTTTCAAGCCATAAGAGGTCATGCTTTTGACAAGCTGTGCCCTTAGTAAGCCAACCAATTATTCTTAAGGCAGAGAAAATGATGTCACCTGGTGGGGATACAATAAACTTGAACTCCACTTACACAGGGTCCGGCAGAAGCGATGCCTGCTTGAGTGTGGTTGGTGCGGTAATAATATGGGAGTAATGTTTTATAGTTTTAGTGTGAACATTTCACCTAACATGCCCTATGGTGTGCTTGAGTGTGATATTATGTTACAGAATTACATGCTTATGATTTTGTAATACAAAGGGGCGTTTGATGGGCTTTCAGTTTGCTCATACATGTAACTTGTTTCTTCCTTTAGATGTTTCATTTCATCGTAGAAGTGATCCTGCCTATAAAGACTGAGTTGTTTCCTTTCTCGTGGAAGAGAGGAGAACTATTGGTGTTGAAAAACCATCATTGCTATTCTTAGACTTTCCCTTTCAAGTCAAAGCTGAGCCAATGAACCTCTTCACAGGTGACTGACCACAGAATGATTGGGACGTTTTCTCAGTGTCTTTCCAGGGTAATCTTGATATTATGACTATTGGTATCACTATTATTATCCTTCAACTTCCAACTAAAGTGCACTTACGCACTGGGCCAATTTCCGATGTTTCCAGAAAGACACTTATAATTAATAAACCAAATCTCAAAAGGGATCATTTTCTGTGGTAAAGAGAGTAAATGAGACTGTTTTTGTAAAGGACAGAAAAGTCTCTAATTATTTAAACCAAACTGCTTTGAACATTTGCATTTGGCTTTTAAGGATCTATCAGAGTAAATTCCTCCCAACTTGAAGGTGACCAGATACATTTCTTGGGTCTCAGCTCAGGGCTGGTTTAACTGGACCTCAACTTTCCTTCTGTTTTGCTTGCCCCAGCTAATGTCTTAAAAAATACAGGACAAAAAACTAGATATAA